TGCCCCTTATCTCTTGGTCGTCTCTCTCGTGGTCGTCTCTCTCAACGCAAGCGTGTAGCCAGCGGCGGGGGTGTTGGCGGTGATGGCGGAAAGGCGCGTCGAGCCATCAGCAAGGGCGGCGAAGCGAGCCAGCGCGTCGCCAGCGGCGCGAAGAAGCGGTAGCGGGTGTGCGTAGCTCTTTGATGTGGGCGCTGTGAGCCAGCACGAGGCTCGCTTGGCGAGGCCTTGCAGCTTGGCCGACGCCACGAAAGCGATGTCTCGTGAAAGCTCGACGTGGCGCAGAGCCAGCGCAGGACTTGCGCTTGACGGACAGCCGCCAAGCTGCATTGCCATGCCGCTTCCTACGCTGGCGTCAGATAAGCCTTTCGCCCGCGCCCGTCTGATGGTCTGACGACGCGCTTTACGCACACCGCCCAAGACGCAAACCGGTCATTGCTCGCTAGCGTTGAGAGGGACGACCCTAAGAGAGACGACCGAGAGATAAGGGGCAAGTTTGTCTTTTTCACAGGACTTTTATTAAATTTTAATTGCTTTGATCCAGATGTAGATAACTGAGTTAAGAATTAGGGTAAACGGAGCCTTCGTTTTGGAAAAATAGGGGTAAAAACATAAAGTGAAAAAAGTGGAATTAAAATCACAATTAGGGTTTGAAATAGGGGCAAAAACGCAATATCCGGAATGACAAACTTGTCATCTGTCAACTTTTTTAACACCGTTACCTGCTGTTACGGAGTAGGGGTAAATTGAACCTTCATTTTGGAAAAGCAGGGATAAAAACACAAAGTGGAGAGAAAATGGGGGTAAAATCACAATTGAGGTTCAAAATAGGGGCAAAAACACGATATCCCCATTTTTTAGCATCTTAATGACTTCAAATGAAAAATCTCAAAATCAGAAAGTTGTAGATCTCGTCGAGATCTATAATTTTCATATAAAAATTATCTTCATTTAATTTCGCAAAAAATATGATTTGATATGATTAATATATCTTACAAGAATCATATTTTTTTTGCGGAATTAAATGAAGATAATTTTTATATGAAAATTATAGATCTCGACGAGATCTACAACTTTCTAATTTTGAGTTTTTACATTTCAAGTCGTTAAGATACTTAAAAAAATCAATGACATATTTAGACTTAAGGGTATTTTCGACTTTTTACACCTGCAGCTTTTTGGCAAGTAGAGTCCAAACCGACAAGCGATGGCATGGAGGGCACAAAAAGTTGGAGCGAAGTATACTGAAGACCGCTGAACTTTTCTAGGGGCACACAGGTATTGCGATCTTTTTTAATAGCACACAGAGAATTCCCCCAAAGAAAAGAACAAGGGGGAATTCCTGTGTGCCATTAAAAAGATCGCAATGTCCTGTGAGCCTCTGAAAAAGTTCAGCGGTCTTTAGTGCCACTGCTTCAACTTTTTTGTGTCCTCCATGACACTGTCGTCAGTTTGAGCTCTAACGGTGTTAAACTGTATGTGTGAAAAGTCGAAAATACCCTTAAGTCTAAATATGTCATTAAATTTTTTGAGCATCTTAACGACTTTAAATGAAAAAAATTCAAAACTAAAAAGTCGTAGATCTCATCGAGATCTATAATTTTCATATAAAAATTATCTTCATTTAGTTCCGTAAAAAATATGATTTGATATGATTAATATATCTTAGAAAAATTATATCTTTTTTTGTGAAATTAAATGAAGATAATTTTTATATGAAAATTATAGATCTCGACGACTTTCTAGTTTTAAGTTTTTTCATTTGAAGTCGTTAAGATGCTAAAAAAAAATTAAAGACATATTTAGACTTAAATGTATTTTTGACTTTTCACACCTGCAGTTTGACACCGTTAGAATCCAAACTGACGGCAGTGACATGGAGGACACAAAAAAAATTGAAACAATGACGCTGAAGACTGCTGAATTTTTTTGAGAAACTCACACGTCGTTGCGATCTTTTTTTAATGACCAACAGCGAATTGCCCCGAACAACGAGGGAGTGTGGTGGTGGTGGCTGGCCGCTGGACAAGTGTACGTCACGTGCGTAGCGACCACAACAGACAACGCTAGCGGCTAGCGGCTAGCGGCCCCACCCGGGCCCGCATGTGTGGTGACGGGAATTTTCCGCGAAGGTCCGGTGAAAACGATTTTTAGCGGCAGCGGGGAAAACAAAACGAGTTTGCGGGTGTTTTTCACTCGAATGTGTCGACATTTTACGGATTGTCGCCATTTTACGGACTACAGTAAGAAAGGGCGGTGGTGGCCTGGTGGGCATCTTTTCCCGTCATGGAAATAGTCCGGTGGTGAATAGGAGTCGTTTTCTTTGCTCCCGTGCTTGGAATGGTATTTTGGGTCGATTTGTTGATTATTCAGATATCGGTTTTTGTTTTCCTGATGAAAGTCAGGATTATTTAGTGCAATTGTTTGTCATCTTACTGCTCTCTAGTTGTTCCCTACATTGACTACGTATTAGTACTTGGGAGGCAGTGGCACCAGCTAGTTTAAATCTGAACTTCAAGCAAGTACGTACAAGCTAACAAGGGCAGGCCCGTATTTCTTTCCTGGGTTTTGTTTATTTAATCAGCAGGTTTGCCCTTGATAGACCCATTTGTACAGGTATGAAATATGATGGAATTAATGCACACTGTACCTGTGCTTGCTTGCTTTCTTTCAAAAAATGGCACAATGATACAAGGAAACAAAGCTAAAGACTCAAATGGCATCTGAAATTCTGGACGAACAATCTGGCCTTGTTACAGCTGTACGCGAAAATTTACAACAAAAATAACAGTCCGTGGCATGTTTTTGTGAATTTACTTTATAATTTGTGGTTACTGGTTAGAGCCTAGCGCCCATTTAGACTTTAGAGTTGCAGTAAATCCGGCCCCTCCAATATACAAAGGAAGAAGCAATATCTGAAGAGAATCATCCTTGACATCACAAAACCATTTCTTCTCGACTGCCATCCACGGAGAGATGCATGGTTCACGTTGTGCTTCTCAATATTATTGCAGTGCTCTGCTCTAACAACAATGCGAACAGCAATCTGAAAGGACCAAAAGGGTAAGAAAATCAGGGGAAAACTTAACAGTGTAGAATAACTGGGTAAAACACAAAGGCAAAACTAATGTGATGCTAGAATTTCCGAACATGATATGGTATCAGACAACAGTATGGCTTCATGACAATTGACAAGCCTGTTCGGGAGGCCGTATCGTATCGTGGATTATTTACTGCTGGCTGGTTTGGTGTGAGAGAAAAACACTGTTCTCGGCTGGAAATTTACGGTCTGCATGCACCATAGCATATTCTTTGCGATCTTCAGACTTCGTTTCAGTAATCCTAAATGTGGAAGCAAGGTATTTCATAACACCACTATCAAGTATCAGCACATGGAGCAACCTGGCTGCCTCAAGGAAATGGAGCAAAGATAGCAAAGTACATGTGAAATGTTTCTGAAGCTTGGTGTTACTTCTGTAAGAACTCCTATATGTACTAAAAAAATGTCTACACCTGCTACCAAAAAAGTAAGGATGATTACTCATGAGACATATGCCATGGACAGCACTATTACTATAATGAGGAAGTTCCTGTGCTAAATTTAGCCAGCAATTTTGTTCCCCACCACACAAATTATACTAAGCGAAAGAATATAGTTAATAGGTGAAGTAGTCGCTACAGTATATCATAAGTATAACACACTCTGCATATTCACGTTATACACCACAGTGCTTCAGTATAGGTTTTCCAATACAACAACAGAAGAATATAGGTCGTTTCTCAGGTTGCCAATATAATCTCCTTATGTGGTATGTATATCATTGTCAGTTGGGCACTAAGACTTCATTCTTAATTACTTAGTAAACTTTTCTTTTATCTTCATGCAAATTATAGGCAGCACATAGATTGACAAATGGTTGGCCAGAATAGTTGAGAATCCCCAACTCCTGATCGATTGGTTGTGGAATTACGTTATGTAGAAAGTCTGCAATGTACACAGCACTGGATATTAGGCAATGTACATATGATATGACTGTTTAGTGCTATGTACTCCATCAAACATTCCAGCAATTAAGACTACTGTTAGTTCGTCAAGCTATAGGATGTTGATTGTTGAAACAAGAAAAAAAAAGAAAATGCGTATTAAATTACGCTAACTTTTGTTTAAAAAATAATATTGCCCCATGGAAGGACTCTTGTATTCTTCAAGGCAGGCAGAGAAGCATTGTGGAGTTCTTTTGACAATCCTTAGCCAACCAATTTGGAAGCAAACATCTATAATTGATCACCAAAGTGTACTTGCAATGCATGATGTCATGCACAGTAGGCTAGGCCTTACGGCCCGGGTTGGTAGTATGAGAGGCCTATCAGGGTTAGGGTTGGAGATAAGATTAGCCATCTTGCTTAGGAGTCAAGTAAGCCTCCCTATATAAGGAGAGGAGATGTATCAATCAAGGCAAGCAAGAATAATATCAATCTATTAGGGGCAGTGCCCTTCTATCCCTGCCCCTGCCCTTGTCATCTGGCTGCCCATGGGACGGGTGGGTATTATGAGAGGCCCATTAGGGTTAGTCGACTGCCCATGACACGCGATGAGACTCTGCTGTGCTTTTCTGTCATTGTGAGGATGTAAAATAAGCATAGCCGGTCTATGGAAAATGTGAGTATACAGAGGATTGCATGGTTATTGAGAAGTCTAAGTGTCTAACAAAGATTGATCACTAAGTTTAGTAGAACTCTTAGTGCAAATCAGTCAAAATATCTCAAGGACTGCATGGTTCCCTATGCATGCATTGGAATTTCAAGTTCTCGTTTCTCTGAAACATCTACATGAGTGAAGTGTTTGATGCCAAATAGCACCTAGCACTCTAGCAGCACATCAATACCAAGGATTTTGTGATGGAATTAGAAATGAGTTACTCAAAATTATTTCTATGGGTAGTGATAACTGGAGACTAAGCTTACCATCCTGCATTTCAGTCTTCACAATTTCAAAGATGTTATCATGTCATTGCATGACTGCCATGGCCTTGTAACTTGCGTTCAAGCTCCAACTCCTTGTCTCTTACCTCTAGCTCCAAACGTCTATTCTCAATCTTCATTTGTTCATTTTCCAACCTCATCTTCTCTATCTCTCTGTCCTTCTTCTTACTAAATACCTCCCACTTGAGACGTTGCTTTGCAAGCTCCAATGCCTCAACTTCAATTTCCATGCGCTGTTTCTCAATCTCCGCAGACTGTGTAGCCAAGTCTTTTTGCACCAAAGCCAAGTTAGTTCCATCTGGAAAAGCTTTGTTGATGTCCACTGTAATGCTATGGGGGTCAGATCTCCTGCTATAGTCATGTGAGCTGGAAGAGTTGCCGAAACCTGCATCCTCCATATCCGCAGCCATGTACCGCATTCTTTTATGCATGGGTAGGGTCCCCTTATTGACATGCACAATGGGATGCTCATCATCATTCTCTTCCTCATAATCAGTGTCCGCACTTTGATCGTCTTCATCAGCATCTCCACTTGCTCTCTTCCTTGCATCATGCTCATCTTTACACTTAAGAGCAAGCTGCAACGAACGCTGAAGTGCAGGATCTTCAGGTAAACTGATCCGATTATTGTTGTGATAGGAGCACATCTCTTCATAGAACAAGTGCTTAGAGCTCAATATCTTCCTCGCGTCATCTTTCATCTTATCTGAGAGATTAGTCATGCCATCCAGAAGTTCTGGATTCGCCACAACTCTGCAAGTAGTACCCAGACCAAGGATATCAGTAAGCCTTTTATACCTCTTATTTAGGTCATTGAACTTATCCTCACACTGCTGCGGCGACACGAGGCAGCCTCGCTCGCCCATGACTTTCGATATAGCCTTCCACTTGCCTTTCTTCTGCATCATTGCACAGCTTCTCCTACCACCTCCTGAATCAGCTCCTGGATCCTCCCCAGTGTAGGATGCAGCAGTAATTAAAAGCCTAACCATCAAATCAGTCCACTTCATCCGATGCCATGCAGAACCCTTCTTTCCCTTGCCGGTCTGGCTATCAGTGGCATCCTCATGCACACCATGCTCCTCATCATCACTCATGCTATTCTTTGCGTGCTGCTGGTGATGGTGATGGTGATGGTGGTGACTGACCTTGCCGTGCTCTCCAAATTGGAATTCAGGCAGCTGATCTGAATCTGTAACCTGGTTCAGACAAATGGGGAAATTTGCGGGCATCTGAGAGTGGTTGAAAGCCTGGTTTCCTGAGCTTGGTGCAGGCATTTGCATATGGCTGTGATGATGCAAGTCCAAATTACCGTAAGGTGTTCCTTGCATCAAGCTTCCAGAGGGTAGGTTATTTCCTTCCATTGTGCCAAAAAGGATAAAGCAGTCATTAATACTCCCTCAAAAAGATCATGCGGTCATTAATACTCCATCAAAAGGGTCATGCAGCCATTAATACTCCCTTTTAATACTACCATGTAGTACAAGCAAACAGAGATTGGTGCGAGCACTCCTTATTTGTTTTGCAGCCCCACCTGAAGAAAATATTTGAGACACCGTGTTGAGCAGACTGCACATATGAGATATGACTAAGTGAGCACTCCAACAAGATCTCAAATTACTCTCATGAATCCAGAGAATCATTCTAATCAAAATCATTCAATTATGCTTCGAGACTCAAATGAATCGCCACTAAATTAGTAGCCTATCAGAGACATCCATATTTGAGGCAAAAGCAATGCAGTCGCAACACAACCCCGTCTCTAGTACGTGAAATTATACACACCATGGGCTCACTCCTAGTCAGTCAAATACTACCGGCGGCGCAATAATACATGTATGTACTTGTAATTAGATCAGATCCGAAAACAGATAGCTTACATTAGGGTTTGGGGTGCTCGGTTTGGCGCCGCTCGAGTCCACACCTGAACGTCGGACCAAATCTCCACTCCAGTACAACAACTAGGAAGGAGCGGCGCTGCGGCGGCGGCTGTGGGCGAAGGAGCGGAGGATCCGGCAGCTTTGGGTCGCGGTGGACTTGCGTTTGCGTGCTCGTACGGGAGTGTGCGGCCGGCCGGCCAATCGCAGCCGCGCTTTGTCCGCACCCAAAGGGCCAAAGGTGCCACCAGCACCAGGTCACGGACTCACGGGGAATGGGTAAACTATTTTTTTTTTAATCGCGCAGCTAGCCGTGAATTCAGGTGAGTTTTGTCACTAGGCCCCGTTTGGATGTCGAAAAATTTGGTAAAATAATACTGTAGCGCTTTTCGTTGTTATTTAGTAATTAGCGTGTCCCTAATCATAATCTAATTAGGCTTAAAAGATTTGTCTCGTATATTTCGTCTAAACTATGTAATTAGTTTTATTTTTTATTTATATTTAATGCTTCATGTATGCGTCTAAAGATTCGATGTGACGGAGAATCTTGAAAAATTTGACATTTTGGGAGGAAACTAAACTGGACCTAGTTTTGGTTCTGATGCCGTGAATTCAGCCTTTCACCTACTACTCCCTCCGTTGACAGAACAAACTGAGCTATCTTTCATCATTCATCATATGATAAATTTTGACTAAAATTATATGAAAAAATATTAATAGTCATAAGACAAAATAAGTATCATTAGATTAATTATGAAATATATTTTTATAATAAATTTATTTAGAGACATAAATGTTAATACTATTTATTATAAATTTAGTCAAACTTAGGCTAATTTAACCGGCATATTTCCCATAATTACGTTCTTTTGCCGACGGAGGTAGTACTATCTTTCATCATAAAAAAAATCAATGATGGAGCTCTCTAGAGGGCCACCCTACCTCAAATTTGATGTGCTCTTCTTTATCCTGCCTATATCATGTGTTTTTTCTCGACTATACCATTCATCAAGCCATGGGGCTTCGGACAATTCTACTAGGCCACACAAGTTGGAATGAAATGGTCAAATGCTTTGGCAGCGTAAGCCCCAACACATTGTTAGGGTGACTCTCTTCTTCTTTTTTTGAGATTTACACAGTACAACGTAGACGTCCAAACATGTACGCACACTCACCTCTATGAATACACATAAGCCAATCCTACCCCTATGAACACCTCCGAAGGACTGAGCCGGCATGTTTGTACCATTCATCAAGGCATGGGGCTTCGGACAATTCTACTAGGCCGCACAAGTTGGAATGAAATGGTCAAATGCCTTGGCGACGTAAGGCCAACACATTGTTAGGGTGACTCTTTTCCTTTTTTTTTGAGATTTACACAGTACAACGTAGACGTCCAAACATGCACGCACACTCACCCCTATGAACACACGTACGTAAAACCTACCTCTATGAGCACCTCCGAAGGACTGAGCCGGCAGATCCTCGCTGTCGACGGGGACGTCACTTACCACTGAAAGCATAGTGCCATTAAATTCTGGAATAAATCCAGGAAAATGTGAGCAACCTGTGCCAAGACGAGGACTTGAACCCGGATAGACAGGTTCCACCACAAGGAACCCAACCAACTAATCTATGATCAGTTCCCAGGGTGACTCTTTTCTTTGTTATTATTAGTGGTAAATAAAATTTGCATGTTCAAGTGAAGCACTCAAGCCAGTCCTATAAAGAGCATAGTCTTGTGTCTGTATCCATCAATATACCAGAAAAACTCAAGGCCCTACCATCATCCAAGTTAAAAACCTATGTTGCTCTCCTCTGGTCACTAAAATTCCCTCCCAAAACCCAACAGTGCAGTCTGGCCATTCTTTGCATGGTAAATATAACACTCTCGGTGTTACGCCCTAAATAAATTATTAAAACATGCCATGAGTATCATGTCTATATGATAATGCATATGATGGAATGAATAGATAAAGTTTTGCAACCTAAAATGATCAGTAAAAACTGTTAAATGAGAAGCTATTCAATAATGCAAATATATCAAGTATGGCTTAAAACCAATTTTTATTAAACAAAAATATTAAAGAACATATATGTGACACTTTAATAAAGTTTGGAATATGAACTTGGTAGATGACAATGAAATCCTTGCTATTGAAAAACAACATTGCTAGCTAATATTTTTAATAGCCTAGAAATGCAATTTGGAATCAAGTTCAGTTTAAAAAAACTTAGAATATTTTCAAGTATGTTGACAGCTAGACAATGCTATGTTTGGCAATTTATTTTGTGAAATCGAGTTAAGAAGTGGTGTCGTGTTTTAGCTCGGGTTGGTAGCCTCATATCCCCTCTGGAGCATGGTGAAGATGATTTAGGTTCCAAAGCAACCGTTTAGTTTTTATAGGCGCTTTAAAATTCGTACAAGATATGATTTCGGGCTAGTTCACCGAGTGAGCGCGGTCACCACGCCTCGGGGGCGCGACGTCGCCACGCCGGCTCGCTCTGCAAGACTGCGCGCCTTGTATTGCCCGCGTGTGTTGGGCTACGATCGCCCTAGCTCGGCGGCCATCGCTGGCTCTACCAAGTGGAGCCTTCTTCGCGCCGCAGACGGCCGAGCGTTGTTAGCAGCTCGCCTCGCCACACCGTCGACCCGCCTCATTCCGCGACGCTGCCGCTGTTGGTGTCGTCGCATCACCGTCGCGTCTGCGCATGTCCCCTGTGCCTATGCCCCGCTGCTGGCCTTGTTAGATGTCGCGCGCACTTGGCCGAGCTCGTCATCGCCTTGCCATTAATGGCACTACGCCGGTGCATGCCATGCTTGTCGATGGACGCACGCGCCTGTCCAATTGCGTCCACGCATGTAACACCTAGATCACGCCGCCACATCTCGTCAAGGCGAGACCGAGATGAGCCCACTTGCCGCCTCGTCTCTCTCTCTCTCCCCTCTGCTGCCGCCGTCGAGCCGCGCCATCAAATTAGCCACCGAGTGATTACTTCCATTTAATTCAGCATGTCTGTGGCTTCACCATCAAGTTCTCTCGCCGCCCGATCCCACCCAGCCATGAAGAAGGCACTGCCTAGCTCCAATTTGGCGCTTTTCCCGCTGCCGTGCCGATAAGGCCACGTCCGGCCGTGGACGAGGGCAGCCCTCCTACCGTCCCTCCTGAGCCAATTCACCTGCACCACTAGCTTCGCCTTGCCTCCCTCTCCACCTTGTGCATGCTAGTGGAACCGCTACCGTCTCCCCATCGCTGCGTTGAAGCGACCACGCCGCCGCAGTGCGACACCGCACGTGGCCACACCTCCTCCACCATCCTCCACCCCAACCGTCACCTTGGCTAGGTCCATGGTAGTCTATTGATGCTCCCTCGCTAGCCAGTTAGGTTCTTAGGTGCTCTGGTGAAAGCTCTAAGTTTGGTTTTGGTGAATTGATGAAACCCTAAGTGCTAACCTAGTTTATCAAAGTGATTAGAGATAGGTAGCACTACTCCAAGTGATGAAACAAATGAAGATCTTGACATGATGATGATGATGATGATGATGATGATGATGATGGCATGGTGATGATCAAATGCTTGGACTTGGAAAAGAAAGAAAGAAAAACGAAAAGCTCAAGGCAAATATGAAATTGTTAGGAGCTTTTAGGTTTAGTGATTAAGACACTTAGAGAGTGTGATCATATTTAGGATCGATAGCCGTACTATTAAGAGGGGTGAAACTCATATCGAAATGCGGTTATCAAAGTGCCATTAGATGCTCTAACACATTGCATATGCATTTAGGATCTAGTGGAAAGCTAACACCTTTGAAAATGTTTGTGAAAATATGCTAACACACATGCACAAGGTGATACACTTGGTGGTTAGCATATTTGAGCAAGGGTGGAGAAGTTGGTGAAATGTATGAGGTGATAGTCACTGAGAAACAGTGACCGAACACTGGTCACGCAGAGACCGAACTCAGACCTGCATCCGGTCAGTGGCGTGCAGTGAAGGGCGCCCTCGGTCCCTTGATCGGACGCTGAAGAGACAGAGGGACTGGATGCGCAGGGGGTGCATCCGATCACCAAGTGACGTACGCTAACACAAGCAACAGAGAGAGGCTGTGTTGATCAGACGCTAGCCTGTGTCCGATCACGAGCCACCGGACGCGTCGGATCGCGAGTGGAACCTTACTGGAAATGACCTACACTGTAGAGCGTCCGGTCACAACTTAAGTGCACTGATGACTATTGAGATCAGGCGATCAATATTTGAAGCAAGGGGCCATGTGGCGTGTATCGCGCGACCGGACACTGGGTCCTACGTCCGGTCGATCTGACCGGCGCGTCCGGTCGCCCTGACTTTTCATAAAACAGAGAGCCAACGACTCTATTTGTGGGGGCTCTCTATTTAAGCCCCATGGTCGGCTCAAGCTCACTCGCTTAGCCATTTGCATTGACATAGGAACCTTATGAGCTTAGCCAAAGCCCTCCCACTCATCTC